CAATTGGGAGTGGTTTTTTATTCTTTTGAAAAATGATTTGGAGATTGTCAATCAGCATGAATGGACCATCATTTCAGATAAGCAAAAAGGATTGATACAGGCTGCACAAGCTATTTTCTAAATTGTGATCACAGGTTCTGTGTTAGACATTTGATGGGAAATTTCAGAGATGCTGGCTTTAGGGGGATAGCATTTAAGAATGCTGTTTGGAGATGTGCAACAGCCACTACAGTGAATGAGTTTCCACAGGAAAATGGGTGCAGTTAGACAATTGAGTGAAGATGCTTGGAGTTGGTTGTCTGCAAAACCACCACAAGAGTGGAGTAGGTCACACTTTAGTGTACTTCCTAAGTGTGACATACTTCTTAACAATGCTTGTGAGACATTCAACAACAATATCCTTGAGGCCAGGGAACAACCAATTCTGTCAATGCTTGAGTGGATAATGAGGTATTTGATGAGGAGATTGTAGCAGGATACGGATAGATGTGCAAAAAAATGAAACTTTTCATTGTGTCCCAAGATACAGGAAATCATAGATGCTCATATTGATAATTTGGTTGAATGCATCCCCCTCAAATCTGATGAGTATAATTTTCAAGTTGAATGTGTGAATGGTGATCAGTTTAAGGTGGATCTAAGGGCACAAAGCTGTGGGTGCAGAAAATGGGAGTTGTCTGAAATCTCTTGTGTACATGCATTGAGTGCAATTAATCTGCAAGGCTGGAGCATTGAAGATTTTGTAAACCCTTACTACAAGACAGAGACATACAAGAGGGTGTATGAGCCTGCAATCATGCCTATTAATGGAAGGAAAGAATGGGCAGCAACTGCTTATCCTCCACCTGAGCCACCAAATGCTGGAAGATCAGCAGGAAGGCCAGGAAAGGCTAGGAGAATGGAACCTGATGAGGTTCTTTCTAGTGGGAGAAAGAGGCCAAAGGGTAAGCCTAGGGTTGTGACCAAGGAAAATACAATGAAGAGGCAACAAAAGACAGTGAAGTGCAGTTTCTGTCAGAGGGAGGGTCACAATAAGAAAGGATGTTTTCTCTTGAAATCTCAAGGTCAACAACAAAGACCAGAAAAGTTAAAGGTAATTGTATAATAAATTGTTGTTTCATGTCTTCATGTATAAGTTGATTCATATAAGTTTCTTCATATAAGTTTGTTCATTTTTTCAGACTAGAAAGAGGGGGAGTGATCTTGTCCCAGCAGTTGGAGTGTCAACACAAGAAAGCACAAGTAAAGTAAGTAGTCATCTTTCAGGTTCTTTTAGTTTCAACTATTAATAGTCATCTTTACAAAATAACACAAACTGACCTTACTTGTTCATGTTTTCAAACTAGAAAGAGGGTGGTTGATCCTGTACCAGCAGTTGGAGTGTCAACTCAACAAAGCACAAGTAATGTAAGTAGTCATCTTTCAGGTTCTTTGACTTTCAACTATTAATAGTCATCTTTACAAACTAACACAAACAAAACTTACTTGTTAGGTTACAAACCAATCTGTACCTGTTGCTCCACCTGCCCCTGCCCCTGCTTTTCCTGCTACAACAAAGTGGTATAAATCTAGTACACATGCCCCTGCTCCACCTGCTCCTCCACCTGCTCCTGCTCTACCTGCCCCTGCTCCACCAGCCCCTGCCCCTGCAACACAATGGTTCAAAGCTTCCCTAACTCCTTACCAACAAATGCAGATGGGACATCCCACTAAAGGAGTGGTCATCAGAGGACCAGTACCATTTATTAGTGGTCATTTCATACCAAGCCAAGAGAGCTGCCTAACAGAGAGAGATTCAAGATTGAAGGAGATATTCAAAGAATGTGGCCAAAAGTACACCTCTATTAGTAGTCTTGTTCCATCTGTTGATCCTAAAAAGAAGGGAAAGAATGTAACCAAATAATTTGGTTGTGTTTTGATATAAACTGAATTTGGGTGTTGTTGATTGATGGTTGGTTTTTGGATATTAACTGGATTAGGGTGTTTTTGTTATTGTCACTGAATGGTTGGTTTTTGTGTGGATGGTTTAGTTGGTTCAGGTTATGGACAAGTTCTTTTGGTTTGGAATTGTGTTTGTTATGGAAATGTATGTGAAAAATTTTGGGTTCTGTCTAGTTCTGCTAATGGTTTGATTTTATGGTTATGGAGATGAACTCAAAGTTCAGGTTACTTTTGTTCCAAGTTCTGGTTATGACTTCAGGTTATGGTTTGATTTTATAGGTTCTGCTTATGGACAAGCACACCTCTTATTGTTTATAATGTTCTTGTTCTAGAGATGAACTTAAATTGTGGCGCCTCATGTTAAGACCATAAATGATGAAATTGACAAGTTATAGGACCTAAATTGAAAGTGGTCAATATAAGGGTGGTTTTTTGGACTGTGGCCAAGTTATAGGACCAAAAATGAAATTTTGCCTTTGATTTGATTTGATCGTGATTTGTTTTTGATCTCTTGCAACCTCTATATTGGATGTAATCTCACTATTACAAGCAATGGAAAATACACATCTTTCTCTTCTGTACCTATGCATTCTCTCCTAGTTTTAGCACTTGTTAAAACAAAAATCAACATATAAGATCATTTGACATGAACATTTAACGTAAGATAAATGATATGAGTGTCTTATTAAATTACAACAATGATAAAAAGTCATGTGTTTCTTGTATGATCATTTGACAGGGACATTTGACCTAAAATAAATGATATGTGTGTCTTGTTATAACAAACATCAAAAGCTTATTTGATTTTGCCCATAAATAAAAAATCTTTTGACAAGGACATCTATATCTATATATATATAGGGGTTGGTTCAAATAAAAACTAGTCTGGTGTGAGAACCGTGAGAACCATATTTGGTGCTATTTTTATATGTGTATGATGCTATTTTTAATCTCACATGGTGATATCATTTTTACAAATGTTAACATAAATTGTGTTGCTATTTTTAATAAAATAAATCCTGATTAAAAATAGCAGTAAAATACAATCAATCATAGCACTACATACAGTTAAAAATAGCGGTTCTCACGGTTCTCACGTTAGAACTTAGTTCTCATTTGAACCAAGTTCTATATATATATATATATTACCTATCAGCTGATATATATAATAATATATATAATTATATAAATAATTAATTAATTACTCACTAATCTGCTAAAACCGTTACACCTTAATATATATATTTTTATTATTTATTTTTTGGATCAGTTACTAAATTAATTCTAAATTTGGTAGCAATATATTCAAATGTGTAACGGCTAATGTTGGAACATAAAGTTGATTGACACATTCAGAGCTTTAACCGCTATATTTGGTTGCATTGTTGGAAGAAAAATATGATTCGCACATATTTTTTTTCTAATGAGAAACACCAATAATTTTTTGTTATTTATGTTAATTTTCTTAATATATGCCACAAATATATAAATTATTTTATTCATGTTACTAATGTAAACGTTGCATGGTTAAAATAAAATTTAAATCACAATTAATTTTGAATGATAAAAATAACTTAAGAAAAAGTAATAATTTTTATATTATAGAAGTACATGTTTAATGAATAAATACAAACAAAAACATGTTTTATATCTGTGCAAATGTACAAGATCAATACTAGTTTAACTGATAGTGCGACTTGTTATAACAAAATCGATACCTATTTAATTTTACTTGATTTTTTTACCAGTGTTGAAATACAACATGCTCTCTTTCTAACCCTAGCTTGACTACAAGACAAAGAACACTCCTCCTGTGTGTTGTTTACAGCTTGCATGGGACCATGCAGTAAGTCATTCTCCAAATCAGCTTCTCTCTTGGTTGTTCTGTTGACTTCCTTGACCATGTTGGTCCCGATAATTTTCATGGGGCAACAATTGTGTGAATTTGTATGCATTCTTGATAAAATATCAAAATCTATATGTATTTATATATATAATAAGAATAAAGTTAATTCATTTTTAGAAAATATTTACTGCCAAAAATATTAATTACCTACTATAGATGCAAATAATATATTATAAATTTAAATAAAAAATAAATCACTTAACGCATAGTTTCTATATAACTTGACTTTCAATTTATGTTTGTTTTAGTCAATTCTCAGTTTTCTTTATTACGTTGATAGTTGTTTCGTAGGCAAATATTATGTAAATAATTAGGCAGCCGATTTTAGAATTCTCATTAATGGAGGATTTTTTTTAGCAGATGTATTAGAATAATTGATTTGGATTATCATATATACACATAAAAAAAATAGTAATATTTAAATTTATTTGAAGCCAGTTTTAAAATTCTCATCTATAGATTTTTTTATTTTATTTTATCATATTTATAAGAATCAATGATTTAGATAGGCATATGTATTATATACACAAAATATAATTTTATAGGAATATTTAAATTTGTTGATGAAGGAACTATTTGTTATGAGACATGTACTTTTTAATGACATGCGTCCACAAATCCCTTTTTATGGTATTGTTTTTTGCAATTATTTTTATTTTTTGTTTTTTGAAAATTTTGTATAGTAAATTGTATTTCTATTTTTCGTATAGACAAAATATATAAAATTAGCATAAATTAATGTGTAATTACTAATATTTTTATGTTTTATATCTACTATATAATTCTCTCTAATGTGTAATGGGTTGCAGGTTGTAATCTCCCCTATATATAATTTCAGAATATGTTGAGTCTAAGTGGTAGACTCTCACGGTTTGTAATATTATGTGACAAAAAATCATGCTTCGAAGTTAGACTTACATATAAAAATAACTTAAGAAAAAGTAATAATTTTTATATGATAGAAGTACATGTTTAATTAATAAATACAAACAAAAACGTATTTTATATCTATGCAAATGCACAGGATCAAATACTAGTTCAACTGATAGTTCGAATTATTATAAAAAAATCGATAGCTATTTAGTTTTACTTAATTTTTTTACCAGCAATATTTCACATAGACCAAGTATTTTGTACTTATTTTTTGTTAGAGTTTCCTCACCTATCACAAAATTGCACACTACAACATATTAAGGGTCTTAGTTATCTCATTCTTACAAAAAATAAAAGTTCATGACAAATGATTTTATATTTTAGACTTTTCATCTTATTTTATTTTAAACAAAATAAGCTAAATGGAAAGAATCATTTAAATAGTATTGAGTTATCTTATCCCTACAAAAAGTTAAAATAAAAAGAATCACTGCATATATTATGGAACTCTTTCCTTTGGCTTTGACACTACCATTTACAAGTACTTTTATTTTCTTTTAGAATTACATGCTAAGCCACACTCTCGGTTCACCAATTTTGATTGCACCAATTTTGCTTAAGGTAACTGTTCTTGACATCAATGAGATGTTTAGATGGGCTATTACACCAATCATTATTAAGGTTGCATAATATTTTCTTATTCTTTTAAATTGATTTTATAATATAATCAAAAGAAGTGTTGATTTTTTTATACATAAATGTACTTGTAAAATTTTAAAAAATAATAATAATCATGTTAAAATTTGATAGAATACTTATAAATATATAATAATTGGATATTTTTTTTTTATTTTGATATTAATTAGTATATTCATATACTATATCTTGTGAACTATATGTAATGATGAATATAAATAAATTTTAATACAGACGCTTTAGACACCATGATAGATAAACATTTGGTACAATTACTAATTTACTATAGGGTCCAAAATTCATAATAGGGTATACAGTATACAATACATGGAATATTTTGTGACTGACATCATGTGATTCGTATTCCATAGTAGTATTTTTTTAACATTACTTTTAGAAAGCACGGTAAAAATTGATAAAAATGAATCGTAGCGCCATTTTATTTTTCTTTTTTTTCGCGTACGCAATAAATGTAGTAAAAAAATAGTAACAAACAAACAAAAGACAGTCATTTTAAAAAGCATCTCATGAATTTGATGAAAAATAGAGAACAAGAAATGACAATAATAAAGAAACCTGCCATGATTCTAAAAATGTCGATCTTTCATTAATTGAGGCTGTTGCGCTGACATTGCCTTATATAGGCTACTTCTCAAGTGCTGAAATACAACATGCTCTCTTTCTAACCCTATTTTGACTACAAGACAAAGAACACTCCTCCTGTGTGTTGTTTACAGCTTGCATGGGACCATGCAGTGAGTCATTCTCCAAATCAGCTTCTCTCTTGGTTGTTTTGTTGACTTCCTTGACCATGTTGGTCCCGATAATTTTCGTGGGGCAACAATTGTATGAATTAGTATGCATTCTGGATAAAATATCAAAATCTATATGTATTTATATATATAATAAGAATAAAGTTAATTCATTTTTAGAAAATATTTACTGCCAAAAATATTAATTACCTACTATAGATGCAAATAATATATTATAAATTTAAATAAAAAATAAATCACTTAATGCATAGTTTCTATATAACTTGACTTTCAATTTATGTTTGTTTTAGTCAATTCTCAGTTTTCTTTATTTACGTTGATAGTTGTATTGTAGGCAAATGGCAGTCGATTTTGGAATTCTCATTCATGGAGGATTTTTTTTAGCAGATGTATTAGAATCATTGATTTGAATTATCATATATACACGCAAAAAAAATAGTAATATTTAAATTTATTTTGGAGCCGGTTTTAAAATTCTCATCTATAGATTTTTTTTTTTAATCATATTTATAAGAATCAATGATTTAGATAGGCATATGTATTATATACGCAAAATACAATTTTATAGGAATGTTTAAATTTGTTGATAAAGGAACTATTTTTTATGAGACATGTACTTTTTACTGACAAGCGTCTACATATCCCTTTTTATGGTATTGTTTTTTGCAATTATTTTTAAAAACAAAATTTTTGAAATTTTGTATAGTGAATTGTATTTCTATTTTTCGTACAGACAAAATATTTAAAATTAGCATAAATTAATGCGTAATTACTAATATTTTTATGTTTTATATCTACTCTATAATTCTCTCTAATGTGTATTGCAGGTTGTAATCTCCCCTATATATAATTTCAGAATATGTTGAGTCTAAGTGGCAGACTCTCACGCTTTGTAATCCTATGTGACAAAAAAATCATGCTTCGAAGTTAGACTTAGATATAAAAATAACTTAAGAAAAAGTAGTAATTTTTATATGATAGAAGTACATGTTTATTTAATAAATACAAACAAAAACGAGTTTTATATCTGTGCAAATGCATAAGAACAAATACTAGTTTAAGTGATAGTGCGACTTGTTATAACAAAATCTATACCTATTTAATTTTACTTGATTTTTTTATCACCAATATTTCACATAGACCAAGTATTTTGTACTTATTTTTTTTAGAGTTTCGTCACCTATCACAAAATTGCACACTACAACATATTGAGGGTCTTAATTATCTCACTCTTACAAAAAATAAAAGTTCATGACAAATGATTTTATACTTTAGACTTTTCATCTCATTTTATTTTAAACAAAATAAGCTAAATGGAAAGAATCATTTAAATAGTCTTGAGTTATCTTATCCCTACAAAAAGTTAAAATAGAAAGAATCACTGCAGATATTATGAAACTCTTTTCTTTGGCTTTGACACTACTATTTACAGGTTCTTTTATTTTCTTTTAGAATTACATGCTAAACCACAATCTCGGTTCACCAATTTTGATTAAGGTGGCTGCTCTTGACATCAATGAGATGTTTAGATGGGCTATTACACCAATCATTATTAAGGTTGCATAATATTTTTTTATTCTTTTAAGTTGATTTTATAATATAATCAAAAGAAGTGTTGATTTTTTATACATAAATGTACTATATTTTAAATTTTTAAAAATAATAATAATCATTTTAAAATTTGATAGAATAAATATAAATATATAATAATTTGGATATTTTTTCTTTTGATAATAATTAGTATATTCATATACTATATCTTGTGAATTATATGTAATGATGAATATAAATAAATTTTAATACAGACGCTTTAGACCCCATGATAGATAAACATTTGGTGCAATTACTAATTTACTATAGGGTCCAAAATTCATAATAGGGTATACAGTATACAGTACATGGAATATTTTGTGACGACATCATGTGATTCATATTCCATAGTAGTATTTTTTAACATTACTTTTAGGAAGCACGGTAAAAATTGATAAAAATTAATCGTACTGCCATTTTTTTTTTCTTTTCTTTTTTCCGCATACGCAATAAATGTAGTAAGAAATTAATAACAAATAAAAAACAGTAATTTTTAAAAGCATCTCATGAATTTGATGAAAAATAGAGAACAAGAAATGACGATAATAAAGAAACCTGCCATGATTCTAAAAATGTCTATCTTTCATTAATTGAGGGTGCTGCACTGACATTGCCTTATATACGCTACTTCTCAAGTGCTGAAATACAACATGCTCTCTTTCTAACCAAGTCTAGTTTTTTTGGTACAAAGAAGGGGCCCAAAGGCCTAAGCTAATACTCGCCGGGGATAAGACACCCCGATATTATCATGATCTAGCCAAGCACCTAATCCTTTCGGAGGGAGAACAAGGCGATGTACTCCAATCGGGAAAGACGCCGCCATACTCGCCATGTGATCAGCCGCAAAGTTTGCTTCTCTATATATATGTTGGATATTAAGACTCCAATCCCTGTGAATCAACTCCCGGATAGCGGTAACCATTGCATCATGGGGTCCCCGATCACCGTCGGGCTCGCACACCAATTTCTTTACACTAAGACTATCAATCTCAGCAACAACTTTCCTATATCCCATCTCCCACGCCAAAAATAATCCCTGAAATAAGCCCCACAACTCAGCACCAGTAATGGTACAGGTGCCTAAATTGTGACTACAAAACAAAGAACACTCCTCCTGTGTGTTGTTTACAGCTTGCATGGAACCATGCAGTGAGTTATTCTCCAAATCAGCTTCTCTCTTGGTTGTTTTGTTGACTTCCTTGACCATGTTGGTCCTGATAATTTTTGTGGGGCAACAATTGTGTGAATTTGTATGCATTCTTGATAAAATATCAAAATCTATATGTGTGTGTGTATATATATATATATATATATGAATGCGCTCAAATGAGAATGAGTCAAAGTGAAAGAAATAAGAATAATTGTGAACCATTGGATCTATATTATCAATGACTAAGATGAAGTCAAAGCTATCAAGTTCAGTCAAACTGGCAATGGCAGATTTGTAATTACATATTCTATATTGGTCAATTATTTAACCATGAGAGCATTTATGTAACCATATCCTCCCACCAACTATCCAATTTCACCTCCATCCACATCTTTCATTTAAATAAATCCCTCTGACCTTAGGTTTTCATTTAAGTTGTGTCAGTTCCTACTCATGGTTTTGTATGCATGACAATAAAGAAGGGTTCGATTTTTAGTCACGGTCAATTATATGTTGTTGTTTCATATGTAAGTAATAGAAATGAGTTGAAAATATTAGTTTTGGGGGACAAGGAATTGCTTAGTAATCAAATTAACTAGTATAATACCTATGTACTACACAGGTGTTGAGTTAAGAAAAATATATGATAAAAGTTATTGCTAAAATAAATTTTTTATTTAAAAATTTTGATGGACTAATTGATGAAAAAAAAACAGAGGGATGGACAATGCAGAAAGTGATTTATAAATCGTAATTTAGGAGAGAAATATGAGAGAAAATTATAATATCGGAAAATTGCTACTTACCCAAACTAAGAAGAAAATGTGTACTAGGAGAAAAAAATAACAAAATTAAATATACACTTACCAAGTTTGAAAAAAATTATTTTGTCTAATACCAAGCCTAATTAAGAGCAAAAATGAATATATAAACAACATTACGAAGCATAGATTTTCGCTATGTCAGCATCTGAAGCATGAGAATATGACACTCAGGCTCAACATGTTTTGAATTAATATATAGGTAGGGATATTATTGCGTATAACGATGTTTTTAATAATATATTATTTTTGGACGAGGAACATTTTTATGATTTGACACTTTCTCTACATGTTATCACTCTTTTATTTATTAATACATATCAATTTATAAATATTTCATTATGTAATTTATTAACACACTTAATTTATAATATATCTTAAAAAAAATACTGTCTGTGCATCGCACTAGTTAATTAGTAGTGTAATATATGATGTTGAACTTTATTTTATCTTCCTGTATTAATTGCATTCATACTTATTTCCTCCTCCCTTATAATAACTTGTATCCAATCATGTGCTCATGATAAATATTTAAATTATTATAAAGTATATGTATGTATATAATATAAAAATTATAATAACTTGTATCCAATCATGTGTTCATGATATTATTACAAAGTATATGTATGTATATAATATTAAATTTATAAATTAGATAATAGTATCACATTTAAAAAAATTTGTCATTAGTAAAATGAATATTATAAAAGTATTCAACTTCACCACTATATTGATTGCATAATATAAAAAGGATAAAGTAGTTCTTATAAATTTGAGGGTTCACGACCTATTAATTATCTTAAAAATTATTATTATTATTATTATTATTATTTATGAATTTGCAATGTAGATAAATTTTTGAGTGAACAAGATTTGAAAATTTAGTTATAAATAAAAAATTAAAAAATAAAAAAATAATCTCAATTTAAAAGTTATAACTATCATTCATCAATCAAATAAGTTAATGGCTAATTGAATTAGTATTTAGTAGACAGTCTTTTTTCTTTCTTTTCCAAACGATAGATAATCTCATAATAACCAAACCAAGGCAAAGACCCCTAATACACACGGATTGAACAGAGAGCACCATTCACAAGGAATGGTCTAGAACTCCCAAAACTCACACACAACTCACCCACAAACACACCCAAACAAACAAAGTCCTCTGAACAGGAGAAAAATGAACTCCCAACAGGAGAATCAGAAACCACAAACGCACGCCTAAGAAAAACTAAACCAAACTAAAAACAGAAGAGACACACAACACACACAACTACAAAAAACTATAATTTAAATATATCCCTCCCAACAGAAGAGGATCCACTCCCCAATCCCTTAGTCCGATCCAATACCCTGATAACCATCCCAAGAGGAACGAACCCTCGGCCCAAACACGAAACTAGAACCTGCCTAATTCCTAACTAGAACTGGATCAAGAGGACCCGAATCCTCCCAGAAAGCCACCACAAAAACGGCAACAAACGACGTGCACCCAAGTTCCCCCAAACCAATCGGATGTGCCATCTAAAGGAGAGGACTGAAACAAACCCCAACTAGAGCCCTGTACGCCCAACACCAGAGTAGATACATGAGACAGGGAATTCAGAGCACCCGTCAAAGAATTCGGCGACCCGCCATTGCCGATCGTCAAAAACCGCCGCCCTACGCAAACTCGGCAAAACCAACGCCCCCTAACCGCCATGGCCAACAGTTAATAGAGGAAATCCAGTCAGAGAGGGACCGCAGCAACCCGAGCTACACACAAGCGATACTGCCACCGGCCCCAGGTACCAAACCAAAGGGAAATCAGACTTCCACCACCCCCCTCCCACAGGATCCGGCGAACAAGGCTCGAGAGCCTCGTCTGCCAAACAGGCCCCAATTCCTGCAACGGAAATAGAGGTTCTGAGGAGCACCGCAACCTCAATCGCGACCAAAAGCGACTCAGCGACCGAAGCCCCAAAAGCAAAAAGAAGAAGCTGACCTTATCGAAAGATGCAACTTCAGGCCAGGACCACCCGGGGAGGAAAGGAATCGCGGCGGATCGCCCCTCCTGAGAGGAGGCACACCACTTCTCACAGATCTAGGTCAAATAGGTCTTAGTTTGGGGAAAGCATTTTATGAGAAGATGAACTAACAATTATTAGTTTGTTGGTAGGTAGTCATTCATAAAATTAAGAAGACTAGTTTTTGTCCCGTGCATTTGCACGGAAAACTATATGATACATGAAAAAATAATAAAAATTATAAATAATAATAAAAATCATAACAAATTCATTGAAAAAAATTAAGAAAAAAAATATAAATATTCTTAAACACTTCTTTATAAAACAACGTCGTTGTTTTTCTATCGTCAAAATCTCCTTCAGCTCAAATCAAAATCTTCAAACCCCACTGACTCGTAACTCTAAAAAGCGCCACGTATAATTGCTCATGACTAAATGCAGAGCTCTTCAGTAGTAAGCCGACGTGCGACAGAGACTGTCTTTGACTCTTATTGATCATGGGCAAAAATTTAAAATTGGTCCTACAATTTAGCCACTGTCGAAAAAACCACCCCGATATTGACCACTTTCAATTTAGGTCATATAATTGTCAATTTCATGAATTTTGGTCCTTTTTTATCCGCACCCTGGATTAAAAAGTGACGTGGCATGGAAAAAGGACAAAAATTGATGAAATCGACAAATTATAGGACCAAAATTGACGTGCCACGTAGATCATAACCACGCCATGTAAAATTAAAAAACTGACACGTCATGCCACGTCACTTTTTAATCCAGCGTGCTGATGAAAAGGACCAAAATTGATGAAATCGACAAATTATAGGACCTAAATTGAAATTAGTCAATATCGGGGTGGTTTTTTGGACAGTGGCCAAGTTATAGAATCAATTTTGAAATTTTGCCTTGATCATGTCATAGCATAGGAAACACTTCTTTATATTGTTTGTCCTTGACTCTTATTGATTGATAGAGATTGTCCTTGCTTCTTAATAAAAAAAAATACCATCTAAATATAATATTAATTTTTTATATAAACAAAAAATTTAAAGTAATTGATAATGAGTATAGAATTACCCTTGCGGATTCAAGTTATTTCAACGATGTTCTTTTTATATATCTAAGATTTAAATTTTTTTCTGATTTATATGAATGTAAGCACATTTGACTAATTTTTATAAAATTTATTGAAAAAAGTTACTATTTTTTTGAAAAACTGATAAGATATTAAGATAATACTGTA